CTCGCACGTGGTCTGAAGAATTCAGGTTCGAGTTGAAAGCATGCGGACGTTTGCTAAGAAGAATCGGAACTTATCCGATACTGACCGAGCTCAGGACAAACACAGCGCCAATGTCATATTGCTCAGTGCGAATTTATTTGAACGATGCAAATTTGTGTTGAGTTAATTGTGTAGCATGCACAGGTAAGGGCGGTAGATTGGTGGAAGCTAGATGCAATGCATTATCGAATGAGAAGGTAGATTGCGATAATTCTGCGTTCTACGCCTGCGAATCCTGGGATGAGGTAGAAAAAAAATAGTGACCTTAAGAGACGCTGTCAAGAACAGTCTTGCTAAGTTGAACGGTTTCGTAAACATGTCATACATATCATCGTTCTTGAGGACGGATGATGACAACGCAATGGGACTGCAATCAGCAACATTTGGATCACCTTTAGATGGGTTGTACAACTACGAAGGCCGACATGTGAAACGCAAAGTTTGAATTTTGAACGTGTTTCGTGATGAAAGGAAAGCGCCGATCAGAAACAGTGTAAGGTTGGTTTTTATGACAAACAACATAATTGAAAGCGAAACATTGATCGGAAACCGTGTGAGGGTTGAACCGTGTTCAAAAAGGGGCTTTAAACAACATACATTCGACATTGATTGTCGTTTCAAGCCTGACACAGTTTCATTATGTTTGTTCGGAAATGCTGAAGTGCGATCAATATCATTACAGATGTGTGTTCAAGTGTGGAGGAAACGGTGCATTCCTTCATTGACTTTGCTTAATCAAGGACGAATGAACAAACGAACAAATGGAAAGACATGTGCAAAAGAAAAGAAGCATTCGTGGGAAAATGCACGGAACACCGAAAAAAACTTACAATTATGTCATAACTACACAGCAAAAGAACAACTTCTTAGTTGCATAAAAAAAAAAAATAATAATAAAAAAAAATCGGAAGTCGAAAATCTAACGATAAATACACCATGAAATGCAATGTTGAAGTGATACGTACATGGAGATTACAGAAATTGCTATAAAACCGGTGGAATTGACTACGCTAAGATATATTGCAAATGATGCACTGCAGCGAAGCACCACCAAAGTGGTCCAGTTTGAAAATCGGATTATCATCCGTTGTAGAAAAAAAAAAAAAACTATAAAAAACGACATCGATTTGACAACAAAATTGCATATGTCCACCATAACACCATACGATAAAAGATGCAGCGTTGTGACGAAAGAACGCATTTTTTGGGGGAAAAACGACGACCTCAATTTCGCGAAAATAGTAAAAAATGTCAATTTTAACCTAAGTAGAAATTCCGGATATCCGGAAGCCCTCTGAATATCCGGTTTATCCGGGCGGAAAAATGGAACCGGATAATACCGGAAATAGTGTTTCCGGGGCCTGCGCAAAATATGCGCAGGGCTCGGATTTTTTTGGGGGGGGCCTGGCGGGGTACAAGGCGGCAACCCTAACACCCTCCCACTGTCGGATTTCGCAGGGGGCCTACCGATTTCGAAAAAACAAAGACTCGATCTGGGTCGTTGATCGAAGACGATCCATGGTCCACATCAAACCTTTTTTGAATTCAAATTCGCACAGCCCCCGTCTTGGACTGCGCTTGGTGTAGTGTCGGAGGCATGTCAGTCCCTCCCCACCAACGGCCCGTCGCCCCATGGCCGCGCTGCCTGCTGGTCGTCATGTCCCTGAGCATCACCGCCGCCTTCCCTTGCCATCGCCCAGCCTCGTTCTCCCCCGCCAGGTAAGACAGGTCGTCCCTCCTCCTCCTCCTCTTCTCGTTCTCCTCCTCCTCTTCTCCTCCTTCCTCTTCATCGTCTTCTTTCTTCCCCTCTTCCTCCTACCCTTCTCCTCCCTCTTTTTCGTCGTCCTCCTCCTCCTCCTCCTCCTCCTCCTCCTCCTCCTCCTCCTCTTCCTCTTCCTCCTACCCTTCTCCTCCCTCTGTATGGTAGAGTAGGCTTGGCGCTGTGCGCCAGATAGAGAGAGCGACTATGGATAATATGTTGGTGTGGCCTACGGGCTTGAACATTGCCTCAATACTTCATTGTATTGCTCTTTATGGATGGTTTTCTCGGTGCATTTTTACTCTCTACTTGGGATACTACTACTTGCTCAGCGCCCGGCCTACTGCAATCAATCAATCAATCAACCAATCAATCAATCAATCAATCAATCAATCAATCAATCAATCAATAATCAATCAATCAAGAAAAAAAAAACGAACAGAACGAAAAAAAAAAAAATTCCAATTGAATCAGTGGACTCCATTGGATCTTGATATTCGATATCAAGATTCAATCAAAATCCACTGATTCGATTGGATTTTTTTTTTCGTTCTGTTCGGGTTTTTTTTTTTTAATCAATCAATCGATAATTCAATCAATCAATCAATCAAGAAAAAAAAATGAACAGAACGAAAAAAAAAATCCAATCGAATCAATGGATTCGATTGGATCTTAATACGGAATATCAAGATCCAATCGAATCCACGGATTCGATTGGATTTTTTGACCTCTCCAGCTCCTCCCTCCTACTCTCTTACTGCTCCTC